GTTACTACATTTCTTTTTCTTTCTTTAATTCTTTTTTTTTCAGTTGTTTGTTTTCATTCCTATATGAACACTGAAACTACACACCAGAGTTCTAAGAAGCTACACACTTTGCTGAAAAAAGTAAGAAGAAAAGGAGGACAAGGACAAAAATTACTTACTGAAACACAACCATCAAGAATTACATGGACAGGACTTCCCTGGTTGTCCAGTGGTTAAAACTCTGCGCTTCCACTGCAGGGGGCACAGGTTCAATCCCTGGTGGCCCTGGTTGGGGAAGTTCCACATGCCATGCAGTGCAGCTGAAAAAAAAAAAAAGAATTATATGGACAACTCAACAACAAAAAACAACCTGATTTAAAAATGAAGAAAGGACTTGAATAGGTATTTATCCAAAAAAGACATACAAGTGGCCAACAGGTATATGAAAAGATGCTCAACATCACTAATGATTAGTGAAATGCACATAAAACCACAATGAGGTATCACCTCACACCTATTAGGATGGCTACTATTAAAACGACAACAACAGAAAATAACAAGTGCTGGTGAGCATGTGGAGAAATTGGAATTCTTGTGCACTGGTGGTGAGAATGTAAAATGGTGCAGCCACTGTGGAAAATAGTATGGCAGTTCCTCAAAAAATTAAACATAGAATTACCGTATGATCCAGTATATACCCAAAATAAATGAACCAGCATCTCAAAGAGATATTTATACATTCATGGTCACAGAAGTATTATTTGCAATAGCCAAAAGATGAAAGTAATCCAAGTGTCCATTGATGGATGAATGGAAAAAGAAAATGTGGTATATACATACAATGAAATATTATTCAGCCTTAAAAAGGAAGGAAATTCTGGGGCTTCCCTGGTGGCGCAGTGGTTAAGAATCCGCCTGCCAATGCAGGGGACACGGGTTCGAGCCCTGGTCCAGGAAGATGCCACATGCCGCAGAGCAACTAAGCCCGTTCGCCACAAGTACTGAGCCTGCACTCTAGAGCCCGTGTACTACAACTGCTGAAGCCTAGAGCCCGTGCTCCGCAACAAGAGAAGTCACCGCAATGAGAAGCCCACACACCGCAATGAAGAGCAGCCCCCGCTCGCTGCAACTAGAGGAAGCCCGCGCACAGCAACGAAGACCCAACACAGCCCAAAATAAGTAACTAAATACATAAAAATTAAGAAAAAAAATAGAGGAAATTCTGACACCTGCTACAACATGGATGAACCTTGAGGACATTATGCTGAGTGAAATAAACCCAACACAAAAGGACAAACACTGTGTGATTCCACTTACATGAGGTTCCTAGAGGGGTCTAATTCACAGAAAGTGAAATACAGAAAGTTAAATGGTGGGTGCCAGGACCTGGAGGGGAGGGGAGAATGGGGAGTTAGTGTTTAATAGGTACAGGTTTCAGTTTTGCATGATGAAAAGTGTTCTAAGGATGGATGGTAGTAATGGTAGCACAACAAAGTCAGTAAACTTTTTTTTAAATAAATTTATTTACCTATTTTTGGCGAAGTTGGGTCTTCCTTGCTGTGTGTGGGCTTTCTCTAGTTGCGGCAAGTGGGGGCTACTCTTTGTTGTGGTGCGTGGGCTTCTCATTGCAGTGGCTTCTCTTGTTGCAGAGCATGGGCTCTAGGCACGCAGGCTTCAGTAGTTGTGGCACACGGGCTCAGCAGTTGTGGCTCGCAGGCTCCAGAGCACAGGCTCAGTAGTTGTGGTGCACGGGCTTAGTTGCTCCACGGCAGGTGGGACCTTCCCAGACCAGGGATTGAACCCATCTCCCCTGCATTGGCAGGCGGATTCTTAACCACTGCGCCACCAGGGAAGTCCCAAAGTCAGTAAACTTAATGACACTGAACTGTATATCTAAAAATGGTTAAGGTGGTAAACGTCATATCATGTGTATTTTACCATTAAAAAAAAATAGTTACAAGGACAAAGAACTTGCTGCCAGACAGACTGAACAACTTACATAGTTTAGCCAGAGAACAGCTCGAGTAAAAAAATAGATCACCCAAAGGAAGTAAATATTTATAAATCCTGAGGAAAAATAAAATTTATTGTAAAACTCTGAGGTAAATTTATGTAGAAAATGTAGCAGAGGGCTTCCCTGGTGGCGCAGTGGTTGAGAGTCCGCCTGCCGATGCAGGGGATGTGGGTTCGTGCCCCGGTCCGGGAAGATCCCACATGCCGCGGAGCGGCTGGGCCCGTGAGCCATGGCCGCTGGGCCTGCGCATCCGGAGCCTGTGCTCCGCAGCGGGAGAGCCCACGACGGTGAGATGCCCGCACAAAAACAACAAACAAACAAACAAACAAAAACAGAAAATGTAGCAGAAAATCAGGAAAACAAAATATTGTGGTGGGGAGCGGAGGGAAAGCATAAATTAGGAGTTTGTGATTAACATATACACACTACTATTTATAAAATAAACAACAAGGACCTACTGTACAGCACAGGGAACTATACTCAGTATTTTGTAATAACCTGTAAGGGAAAAGAATCTGAAATGGAATATATATATATATCTGAATCAGCTGTACACCTGAAACTAACACAGCACTGTAAATCAACTATACTTCAATAAAAACAAAAACAAAACAAAACAAAAAAAAGTATTACTAAATATGCATCACTAGACATGGGCCCTCTCTGCTATTCTAGAAATTCGGAGAAAGATTACCTTCCCCTGACATACTCTTGCAACCTTCTCACTGATGCCTTAAATTTCAGTCTTGGAGGTTTATAACTTTGGCTTAAAGCCTTTCCCTCTGGCCTAAGCATGATCCTAAGTTCAGAACTACAGTACAAAAGCCTAATCAACATTTTCCACGAGTTCTTCAAACCAACATATCCAAAAGTATTACCTTATTCTCCTCAGAATTCACTCCTTCAGACCTTACCAGTTCTGCCAGTCGCTCCCCTATTCCCTCCAAATCCCACAGTAATTTTCCCTCCTCCACCTCCCTTGCCCTAACAGGCACTTGGCAGTCTGGTGCTGGCATGTCCCTTCCCTGCCTTTTCCATCTCTTCTGCTCATCCCCATGGTCACTCTCCTTTGTCTCATCATTCCTAGAGTGCTGTAACAGAATCCAAATGCGCTCAGCCTCTGCCTGTCCCATAGTAGGAAGACTAAACACAGCCTACAGCAGCAGGAAAGCAGGACAGAAGGAAGAAAGGAAGAGAGGGAGGAAAACAATATTGGAAAATTTTCAATAACTTGAAAATAAAATCAAAGGATGCATCATGGAAAAATATAAAATCTACCTTGCTTAACAAATTCCATTCCTCAAACACAATCCTTATACACATATGTTTCACACTTTTCCCCCAAATTTTCAAAAGATAGTCATGGATACTTCCTAGTAGTCTAGTCAGACGCTAGTCTATGAATCACTGTAATTAAAGAAAGCCAGTAAGAATCAATCTGAATGTAGTAACATAATGTACTGAACCTGAGATATTTTTTATCAAAAAATGTTCTCCAAGAATTACCAGGCTTTTAGAGGCCAGGGTGTCTTAAGAGGTTATAATACAAAGATTATTGTTTAATAATAATTTTACAGGTTCTGATTTAAATGTGCTCTCTGGATCACTGGATCCTTAGGTCAAACTTGAGGGAAAGGGAGTCTCAGCTCAGTATAAGAAAGACATCAACAACAATAGTGTCAGGAGTTCCCTGGTGGCCTAGCGGTTAGGATTCTGGGCTTTCACTGCCGTGATCCAGGTTCAATCCCTGGTCAGGGAACTGAGATCCTGCAAGCCGCGTGGTGTGGCCAAAAAATAAAATAAAATACCAAAAAAAACCCCCAAAACCCAAAACAACAACAATAGTGTCTACAACAGAATGGGCAGAATCAGAGGAAAGTAAGCTGGGGGGGTGGGGGTGGGGGTTGAGTATTTGTTAGGAAATTGTAGGACCGACTTAAACATGCATTAGTGGAGAAAAGTAAAGGAACTCCTTGATCAATGGTTTCTCAAACTAGTCAGTCATCAGAAACACTTGAAGAGCATGTTATAGTTCAGATTCCTTGGCCTCACTCATAGAAATTCTAATTTGGCAGGTTTGAGATGGAGCCCTGGCACATATATTTTTACAGAAATCCTCAGAAGACTCTGGATCCACTACCCTATGTTGGTTTCTCAAACTGGAGAAACCATGATCTACCCCAAGTATGTCCATAGATTGCATCCCTCATCCTGGGATCCACAGACCTCATTTTAAGAAATATTGCACCTAATCACCCTGCATTTGTGATGTTATTTTGGCAGAATTATTTTATTCAGTTATAGAGCTAAACCTGTATGTTTTCCAGCCTAACACTCTTAGCTTTATTCTGTACAGCTGTATATAGAGCTGGCCAAGCTGTGTGGCATGTGGGATCTCAGGTCTGCGACCAGATATTGAACCTGTGCCCCCTGCAGTGGAAGCATAGAGCCTTAACCACTGGACTGCCAGGGAAGTCCCAACACAGCTGTATTCTTAATAGTGAACATATTCACAATATTTGTAACCCAAGCTCATAGTTGGAGAAACCAGTTTGAGAAACATTGTATTAGAAATTTTCTAAAGACCCTGAGATTTAGCAATGCGGTAACTGGAGTTTCTGATTTGGGCTCAATTAATTCCTAAAGAAAGTTCTTAGGGGAAAAAAAAAAAATGAGGACTGTGCGTGGGAGTACAGGTGGGGGGCAGGGAAGGGAGCAGGTAGCATATTAGTCCTTGAGGACAGAATCTGTGGCCTTTAAAAGCCCTTTCAGGGGCTTCCCTGGTGGCGCAGTGGTTGAGAGTCCACCTGCCGATGCAGGGGACACGGGTTCGTGCCCCGGTCCGGGAAGATCCCACATGCCGCGGAGCGGCTGCGCCCGTGAGCCATGGCCGCTGAGCCTGCGCGTCCGGAGCTTGTGCTCCGCAACGGAAGAGGCCACAACAGTGAGAGGCCCGCGTACCGCAAAAAAAAAAAAAAAAAGCCCTTTCACCAGGGCCTGGAGCAGGGTCTGGCATAATAGGCAGTCAACAGATACTTAGGAAGGAAGGAAGGAAGGGAGGGAGGGAGGGAGGGAGGGAGGGAGATTATGTTTGTCATAACCAGATCATTTGCCTGTATTTGTGGCTTAGCAAGCCATATAAAAAAAACCTACAAAAAGTCATTTTTGAGATAATCAAGGACATTTGAATAGGGTTTGAGTATTGCATGTTATTAATTTATTGAAAATCTTATTAATATTAGTTTTTTTTTAGATGCTACTAATTTACTATGACTTTCGCTAGGTGCAATCATGGCACAGTGATTTATTAGCGATGTAAAAGGTCCTTTCCAGTGAGAGATGTATACTGAAGAATTTATGAGTGAAATTTCAGGATGTCTCAAGCAATAGATGAAACAAAATTCACAAATCGTTGCTAATTGCTAAAGATGAGTGGTTTGTATTCAGGGGTTTGTTACAGCACACATTGTGCTAGTCTTTCTATGTCCCTGTATGTAACAAAAGGTAAACAGCCTCTTTCCTGAGAGAAACCGGTCTTCTTGTGCTAAGGCATGCGTATGTAATGAATTAACTTTGCTCCTACGTAACCAGATCAAAGCATTTCTGCGTGGTCCCTGTGGTTCCTCCTCAACGACTGAGAACATTTTAGAGAGAAGTAAAACCTGTAATCCAGAGGGAGTGCCCCGTTAGGAAACAGGAAGGCACAGTCAGGGTTTACCTAATCTTTCTTTGCCTCAGCTCATGCACATGTGAAATGGGGATAATAATACCCACCTTATAAGTGGTTGAGATGACCTGCCTGCCCTTCTTGTTGTCCTGGTCAATTGATTGTGCACTGTCTGAACATGGTGGCTTCTGCCCAAGGCCAAAACAGGGGATGAGGGAAGAGGAAGCATTGGAAGCAATGGTTGTGGGTACACGCCTCTGGACACAGCCCACAAGGACCTGCTTTCCTATCCTGACCCCATGACCCTTAAGCTGTGTGATTTAGGGCAATGACTTAACCTCTCTTAACATCAACTGCTTCTCCCGTGAAACAGAGATGGTATTACCCAACGTGCTGTTGGGAAGACTGAAGCATTGTAGGGAATGGGTCTGGTGGTCTGCATGGTATACAGCAGATGCTCCTTAAGTTAGTGATATAAGCAGGAAGAGCCTCTCATAGCTGCTCTCCCACCATGGCCATTCAGACCTCACAGGATTCTTTGCACCTTGGATTTTAGATGCTGATAACTGGTTTCTGTAAGGTGAGGTCAGGGCAGAGAAGACCCAGGGAAGGGTTGGTAGGCTGCTCAAAAGACACCCTCCATAAGGGCTGATGGTGGGGTTTTAGGTGAGGGAGATGAGAAGGAGAATGCTTGCAAGAGAGGCAAGGGGAGTTCCTGGAGCAAATGGTGAGGGAAAGGAGGGTATGCTCCAAGGAACACACGGAGGACTGGCATTACCTGTGAATATGAACATCTCCTATAAACAGAGAAGAAAGTTAGATAGTGCTTATTATATGCCGATGATTATTCAAGGTGCTTTAGGTATGTTAATTCACGCAGACCTCTCAGCAACATTTGAGGTATGTACTATTATCATCTCCATTTTACATGTGCGTGAACTGAGACAAAGAGCAGTTAAGTAACTTGCTTAAGGTCCCCCAGCTGGTAAGTGGCGGGGCTGGGTCACACCAGGTAGGCTTATTTTAATGTCCTTCCACCAAACCATGAAACTGATTGTGATTGTGCACCCCTGTGTTAGGGGCACACAAAAGTCAGGGTTGTCACGTCTTGGTTGATCTTTCTTCCCCTGAAAATTGGGTCACCCTAACAGTCCCTGGTTTACTCAACCAGGGCACTTTCAGTATCCAGCATCTTTTTTCTTTTTTTTCCTCTTGGCTTGTCCATTGTCTGTTCTCAGATGGGATGTCTGTGCTCAGATGGGATGTCCTCGCCGTTCCCGTAGAGCAGTCAGGGTTCAATTAGAGGAAAAAACACCACCACTAGGAGTGATATATAACATTATAAGCACTAAATAATTTTGTGAGCTAAACAGCCTATGTACTGGGGTCTGAAGTCTCCAGGGCAGGCATTCTAGAAGGGAAGATGAAGATGGATATGAAGTGGGAGAGATCAAGGACAAACTGGAACGCACAAGCATGAAGCTGGGACCAAAGGACAGACTGGAACTCACATATGTCTTTCAAAAAGCCTCCAAGTTCAAGGGAGTGGGTGTCCTATAGGAAAAGCCAGAGCCTTCCACTGTGGAATTAACCACACACCTGGCTCGGGAGTCAGAAGCTGAAGGAGGCTCCCACAGGGGAGGGGATTGGAGGGGCAGTGAGCTCAGTGGCTGCCCACACCAATGAGTTGAGACAGGAGCTTGGGCTGCGACGGTGCCTCACACCCCAAACCAGTCTCCGGAGAAGGAATATGGCTACTGTTTCACTTCTGCCCCCCAAATTCCACCCCAGAATGTCTCTTGCGGCCCATGCCAACCTGAAACTGTGCAGGGAAGGGAATTTGGGGAAGCGTAGCTCCAGTTTAACTAAATTGCTACAATGAGGGTCACCCTACTTTTGCCGGGGAAGCCCCATCATTCTTTCTCTGGCTGTCAAGCTGAGGGGAATAAAAATACCTCCTGCCCAGGCAATTTCCTCTTTCTAACATTTACTTTATGTTTTGTTTTAGAGCAAAAGAGGAGTTATTCCCTGCTGCCAGCCTCTGCTCTGAACCCCTGGGTGTGTCATCTGCTTCTCTTCGGAACCACCGACACCCTCTGCCCTTGGGCCTCTTCTCTCCAAAAGTAGGTTGTTATCCTAATCAAAAGAGTCACCAGTGGTTTGATGAGTTTGGGAAATGAAGCTAATTTTTTTAGGGTCTTAATTATATAATTGCTATGTTCCAAAAAATAAAAAATATATATATATTTAAGTCTCGGAAAGTTTCTTTTGAATATGCCATAATTATATGAAGTAACATAAACGACAGTGTAATATGATCTACCATACTGATCTCCAGGGTAGGTGTAGGCACAGAGTTGCTTTTATTTAAATATACTAACAATTAGAGGTAGCATAGCCTAGGTGAGTGGTTGTCACACTTTGGCCTGTAGCAGAATCCTCTGGAGGGCTGGTTAAAAGTCTGCTGGTTCCCATCGCCAGAATTTCTGGTTCTAAAGGTCTGGGGTTGGCTTCCCTGCTGGCCCAGTGGTTAAGAATCCATCTGCCAATGCAGGGGACATGGGTTCGAGCCCTGGTCTGGGAAGATCCCACATGCCGCGGAGCAACTAAGCCCGTGGGCCACAACTACTGGGCCTGCGCCCTAGGGCCCACGAGCCACAACTACTGAGCCTGTATGCCACAACTACTGAAGCCCACGCGGCTAGAGTCCGTGCTCTGCAACAAGAGAAGCCACTGCAATGAGAAGCCCTCGCACTGCAACAAAGAGTAGCCCCCGCTCACTGCAGCTAGAGAAAGCCCGCACGCAGCAACAAAGACTCAACGTAGCCCAAAAAAAAAAAAAAAAAAAAGGTCTGGGGTAGGGCCCAGGAACTTGCAGTTCTATTGAGTTTCCAGGTAATGATGGTGCTGCTGGTCTAGGGGCCACACTTTGAGAACCACTGGTCTTGTGGTTAAGATCACAGGCTTCTAGGCCAGACATCATGGGTTGGACTCTCAATTCACCATCTGTTTGCTGTGTGACCTTGAGCAAATTACTCAATATCTCCATGCCTCAGTTTCTTTGTATGTGAAATGAGGATAATAATGACACTTACCTTTGGGGGTTATTGTGAGGTTTAAATAAATTAATCCACATAACGTATGGATACTTTATTTTTTTATTTTGTAATTTATTTATTTTTGGGTGTGTTGGGTCTTCATTGCTGTGTGCGGGCTTTCTCTAGTTGCGGCGAGTGGGGGCCACTCTTTGTTGCAGTGCGTGGACTTATTGCAGTGGCTTCTCTTGTTGCAGAGCACGGGCTCTAGGCAAGTGGGCTTCAGCAGTTGTGACACGCGGGCTCAGTAGTTGTGGCTCGCTGGCTCTAGAGCGCAGGCTCAGTAGTTGCGGCATGCAGGCTTAGTTGCTCCACGGCATGTGGGATCTTCCCGGACCAGGGCTCGAACCCGTGTCCCCTGCATTGGCAGGCAGATTCTTAACCACTGTGCCACCAGGGAAGTCCGTATGGATACTTTATGCATCTATAAAATACTTTTATCCACATAAAATATGGATACGGCACACGGTAAATGTCAAATATTTGCCATTATTTTAATTCAGAATGTTTTGTGAGTCAGTGATTACATAGCAAATGCATATTATAAAATATTCCAGATCCACAGATCTTTTACACTCACAAAGGCTGAGTCTAGAAAAAATGGAGGTTTTAAATTTAATTTCTAAGTAATCGGTTGTGGAGTTCCCTGGCGGTCCAGTGGTTAAGACCCCGTTCTGCCAATGCAGGGGGCTCGGGCTCGATCCCTGGTCAGGGGAACTAAGATCCCACGTGCCACCGGGCCAAAACATTTAAAAAAAAAGAAAAAGTAATCAGTTGTGAAATTGTTATGTCTCTTCCTACTTGTCCCTTAGTATTTCTCTAATGATCACGGAGCTTGGAAATACCCAGCAAATGCATTAGGAAAAAAGAGAAATATAGCAAATGCCAGTTCTTTTACAAAACATTATAATTTAAGGGAAAAGGTAGCATTATGGCAAAGTTTGAGTTCAATTTCCTAGTTGACCACAAGATGGCAGCACCACACGGGATTTTGCAGAAGAGTAGTATTGCTCAAAGTCGCCTCCCGCATACCCCCTGCACGAGGCTGCCCTCTTGGACTCTGAAATCCACTTCCTGGATCTCGGTCCCTTTCTTATCCTTGTTTAGGCTTTAGACCATCCGTGGACCGAGCCCCATTCCTGTTGCGGACTCGAGGGTCAATTCACGGATTAGAAAAACAGGGTTTCACTGCAAGACTAACCTGATTTGTAATTCGGAACAGCTCCCTGTGCGACTCTGAGCCTCAGTTCCCCCGGTGTAAACTAAGACAGTGGAATAGGGGCCCTCCGCGGTCATCAGCCCAGGGTTCCAAGTTCCGAATCAGGTTTGTAGGAGGTGTCCACAGCAGGCAAGTGGGTTCACAGTCCCCGGTGATTTCTGGCTGCAGAAATCCAGGACCCGCCACTGTGTGCCAGAGGCCAGCACGACGCCCTCCGGAGCATCCTGTTTAGGGCCTAAGAAATGTAAAACGTTGTGTGCTATATTAAAGCAAACCAGGATGTATCAGGACAGTCCGTGGAAAGTCGTGTCCATTTTTAACGTAAAACGGATTACTTCAATGAGATTACATGCCTCAGAAGACTTTTTCAGGGACCACCTGTCCACTCTCTTCTGCCTTTAGGGTTACCTCGGTGGAGCCTGTCGCTTTGAGCAAGTGTTTTTGTTTAACTGACGCCTAAAGGGTTTTGTTGAACTGAAACTTCTTTTGGCGAAGGATGCTCTGGCGCCCTCTGGTGACTTATCCCAAGTAATGCGTCACTCGCCTTAAAACGCCTTGCTTTCAACTTCTTACACCAAATAATCCAGTTTTTGCCTTCTGAGTCCTATGTTAGCCTGCTTCTGGATTATTACTTTTACTGCTAACTCTATGAACCACACCCCCGCCAAGTATAGTTATGAGATTCCGTGCTGGAAGTATAGACTCCAGGCGAGCTTAGAGTGGAAGCACGAATAAACTAACGTGGCAGGAGTGCCAAGTCTTTGACGTTGGCTCATTTCATAGGAAGAGAACATGCCTTAGGAGAGATGGTTGTCAGTCCCAGCGGGGAGAGGGAGTGTCTGTGATGAACCTCATATTTTCTGTGCTTACGGTCCAGGTAGCTGGCTCTCTGGAATCCCCCTGCCCTTTCCTCTACCTCCCATCTCCTTGGCTCATGTGGTATGACTTGGTGGCCACCCAGTTCCTCGCAGGCTGGCCCCTCTTGGGACTCTGACTCTATCCTAGTGCTGGCTAGTGAGGGGCCAGATCCTGATTCTTGTGCCTGGAAATGTTGCTAGAAATACCGTATTTCTCCAGGGACCAACTGCATCAGGATCTCCTGGGATGCTGCTTACATCCAGACTCCTTGGGTCCAGCCCCGGACTTGCTGCATTAGAATCTCTGAAAGTAGAGATGAGAATTATGCATTTTAAACAAGATCCCTGCGTGATTGTTAGGGAAGCCAGGATTTAGAAATTGATTCATAGACGTGTGACTTCACAGACATGATGATGATCACGATACCCTCTGTCCACATAACAAGTGTCTGCATTTCTGCTACCACTTCCCCACCCCACCACCAATATGACTGTGCACCTTCTTAGATCTGAGCATCAGCCAGGGTGCACAAGCATGAAACTCCTGGCTTCTGTCCCAGGAAGCACATCATAGAGTAAGTTTTCTATCTCTTTCCTGAACCCCTTTTATCATCAATCAGGTTAGTGTTTCTGATCAAGACTCTTTGCTGAGCAAACTTAAATTATACCCCTAACATTAAAATGTCAAGGATTAAGAAGTTGATCCTCTATGTGGTACATATATACAATGGAATACTACTCAGCCATAAAAAAGAACAAAATAATGCCATTTGCAGCAACATGGTTGCAACTAGAGAGTATCATACTAAGTGAAGTAAGTCAGAAAGAGAAAGGCAAATACCATATGATGTCACTTATACGTGTAATCTAAAATATGGCACAAATGAACCTATCTATGAAACAAAAACAGACTCTCAGACATAGAGAACAGACTTGTGGTTGCCGAGGGGGAGGGGGAGAGGGAGCAGGATGGACTGGGAATTTGGGGTTAGTAGGTGCAAACTATTACATTTAGAATGGATAAACAACAAGGTCCTACTGTATAGCACAGGGAACTCTATTCAATATCCTGTAATGAACCATAATGGAAAAGAATATGAAAAAAATACATATATATTGTTATATATATATATATATATATATAACTGAATCACTTTGCTGTACAGCAGAAATTAACACAACATTGTAAATCAACTATACTTCAACAAAATAAAGTTTAAAATAAATAAAAGCTACCTACCAAAACAGTTGTGTGGTATTTTGGTAGCTTTGCTGAGGCACCTTTTGTCTCTCTGTGTCTGTCTGTCTTTCTGTCTATGGAGGGCATGGCATGCCATTGTGCACTTGACATTAACAGGAATAACATGAAATTGAGCACCTGCTGTTTCTGTTAGACAGAAACTATGAGGTCCGGGGCCTGAAACCCATCCTAGGGTTCAGGGACTCAGTGGTGGGAAGGACAGTGAAGTCCAATTTGGTGGCCAGGGCAGGAATCCCATCCCCTCACGCTCACTGAAGGGACATTGTCTTAGATGCCAACTTCTGCAGCTGCCTGCCCTTGGACCTATTTTCAGGTATACTTTTCACCCGAGTACCCAAGTCCTTCCTCACCCAGCAAGGCTCAGAAAAGAGGTGGTGAACAAAATAGCCTAGGAGGTCACTAACACTGGTCACTAGTGCTATGAGTGCGGACACTCATCTCAGACTCTGCGCAGTGCTGTCCAACGTGGTAGCACAAGCCACATGTGGTCATTGAGCACTTGAAATGCGGCTCATGCAGAATGTGCTGCAAGTGTGAAAACATACACCAGACTCTGGACACACAGTAAGAATATAAAATATCTCCTTCACAGTTATAGATAGATAGATAGACACATGGATAGATAGATAGATGGCATGCGGAAATGATAATATTCTGGATATATTGGGTTAAATAAAATGTATTATTAAAATTAATTTTACTTATTTGTGGTTTTCAAATTTGGCTACAAGGCAATTTAAAATTATATAACGTGGCTTGGACGCTACTGGTCTGGGCCCATGGTATTTATCTGACGATTTCCACTGTTTCTAATCCTTTGGAACTTAACCACTTCCCTAACATGACCTTTCTGGTTTCTCCTAGTTCTTTCCCTCCTGGACAGCCCTATTCTATTGCCCACGGAGCTGTGTGACACATGCCAGCTCTTGCTAAAAAGTCCTGCTGGAGTGCCCCAAGTTGCCCACTCCATTGCTACATGACTCTAGCTGTTAGAAGATTCTTTCTTATACATCAACCAAAATAGGCTTCCCTGAGACAGCTTTCTATGAGAATAAATGAGCCATGGTTAATAACCTGATAGCAACACATTTATGCCATTTATTTAGTCGAGTCCCTATTTAGTTTGTTTTCAGGTTTCTAAAATGTGTATTATGATAATCATCCTTATGTTTAAATTTTTATACGCATATTAAATAATTTGGATAAATTCTTACTAATACAATCTTTTAAGCTTTTGACACTGTTCTGTATTACATGAACAACATTGGGTATTATAATTTTTAAGATCTTTGTAATTCTTATAAAATGGTAATTTTGTTAAAAATTTTACATTAAAATGGTTTAAAATAAGTTTAAAATGGTAATTTATTGTTTTCTTTTGCTTTAGTGTTAGTATATTTTAACTTTGTTTATTTAGAACTTAATTTTATCTCAAGCTCCCTTTCTGTTGATGGTAGAAATTAAACAGAATTCAAATGCTAGTTCCTATGTGCATGTTTTCTTCTAGAGGTGATCTATGCATTTTCTACACAAATGTACCATATAATACACGTTTTTCTATGCCTTTCATTTTCATATTTATTCTGTTTTTAAAAAAGAAAATCCTAGGCTGGCTTTTTAAAAATATTTAGTTGGCTGCACTGGGTCTTAGTTGTGCATGAGGGATCTTCGTTGCCATGTGCAAGATCTTCAAGGGCCTGAGGATCCAGTTCCCCGACCAGGGATCAAACCCGGGGCCCCTGCATTGGGACTGTAGAGTCTTAACCACTGGACCGGCAGGGAAGTCCCTAGGCTGACTTTCTAAAAAGTCCTCCTTCACAAATGTCACTGATTACCTTAGCCTTGTAATAAACACAGGAATCCACTTTAAGGAGCAATTTAGTTTCCTTTTTTTTTTTTTTTTTCATTTCACCCTTCTTTCCTTTATTTCTACTTGTCTTTTCTTCAGATGGAAGAGTAAGCAGTCAGATCCTGAGTGTCCCGGAACCCCCAGTGGACAAGTTTGCTCACCCCTGCATCTTGTGAGCTGGAAACGGTGGGCATGAAGGCCCTGGGCCAGGCTGCAGAATCTCTCCACTAAGACCTGCTGATGGAGGCAACAGGTAAGAAATGACTGAATTCTTCTTCTTGTAAGAAGTCCCAGCCTCTCCTCCTCAACCCCCCAGGTTCATTCCTTTCTTTTATCTCTTATATGTAATGCTTTACATATAACTGGCACTATATAAATACTTGTTGAATGAATGAATGAATAAATGTAAATATCAATGGGTGAATGCTAACCCTGGAAATATCTGGTTAGGCTTGTTAAAGCAACACCAAAGATTTTCATCTGTGTGAATGACTTACCATGAATGACCAGTGATAGGGTAGCACAAACACCATTGGGATATCATAAAATCATATATTGTTAGAGCTGGAAGGGGCCCTTGAGCTTTGCATGTCCCAAGGTTCCCAACTGATGAATACCATCAGAATCTAGCTGGCAGGTGTATTTACTTAGCTTGTAGTCTTGCTGCTGATGTTGGTTTTCCCCTTGGAATTAGTTACCAACATATAAATACTGGAAGACTTCATAAAAAGTGTTTTAAACTGGAGTGTCTGGCACTGCTAGGTCCGTAGCTACACACAACACCCTGGGCTGAGCCGTTGCTGCCCTATTTTAGATGGGATGCGTTCTATTCCTCGATGGAGCCCCCAGCTGCACACAGTGCACCTGACACACACACAGGACTTGTCCGGCCCTGGGAGAGGTTGCACTTGTGATGCCTAACCTAGTCCAATGCCAATGTAGGTAAGGAAACTGAAGCCACTGAATTCACCTCCCTAAACAGTTTGCTTGATTTTAGCCTCATCCCTGCACTATCTTCCATCTACTTCCAGAGTAAGCTCCGGAAAACACAAAAGTGACTAGGTCACACCCCTGCTTAAAATCCTTTGGTGGCTCTACTAGATCTAAAGATCCCAATCTTCTTATCATGGATTATGAGACCTTTCAGTGGAAAGCCTGCTTTGCCAACTTTAACTCGGACAACTCTGACTCACCAGCCACACCAGGTATCTTCACGTTCCTCTACTCTGCCATGTCCTCTTGTGCCTCAGCGTCTCCATATCCGCTGTTCCCTTTTCCTAGAAGGCTTCTCCCTATCTGTTTATGTGTCTGACAATTTATTCATATTCAGTACTTAGCACAGGCACCTGTGATTCTCCCCGGTGAATCCTTCCACCCTCACTTCATCGTCTCTACCATGGGACACAGTTCACAGTCCTCTTTATAGCTCCTGGAACAGTTTACTATGACTTCCCCATTAGACTGTGTGCTCTTGAGGAAAGGAACCACAGATCATTCATTTTTATCTTAATTATTTATCCCAGTGCTCAATAAATGTTGAATGAATGAATGACAGCCTTGCTCCAGGTGACTTTGTTAGTGACATAGCTGTGAGACACTATGGTCTTCCCCTGATTTCCTCCTGTAGCGTTACGACCAGGAGTCCTTTGCAAACAGAAGAGAGTGTAGGGACAAGCTTCACTCTTCCCATATTACCAGACTGTCTCAGGACCCTTAGTCTTCAGTGTTTGTTGATTTTATTCCTCCTCTTTCTTCTATACATATTGTATACCTCATCTTGGCTTCAGCTTCTCACTTAAAAAATTGACTCCCAGGGCTTCCCTGGTGGCGCAGTGGTTGAGAGTCTGCCTGCCGATGCAGGGGACGCGGGTTCGTGCCCCGGTCCGGGAAGATCCCACATGCCGCGGAGCAGCTGGGCCCGTGAGCCATGGCCGCTGAGCCTGCGCGTCCGGGGCCTGTGCTCCGCAATGGGAGAGGCCACAACAGTGAG